ATGACCTCTGCGGTCTGATGGGACTAGGGTCTTTGTAGGGGTTCGTTTGCGGTTTCTACTCGATGATCGGGTGATATCAAACCGCTGCACATCTCTGGTCATCGACCAGGCTGTGCGATTTAACCCATCGTCTTTGACGGCGGTCGCTTGAAATAGCGCGATGATGCATCACTCCACGTATCAGCATTCTGGAAAGGAAAAGTCCGAGTGATGGAACATGTTCATATTCAACACGCAACAAGAGCTAGGTCTAGTGCCAGTTTCCGTCACTGTTTGAGTGCTTGTGTGTCCGATATGTGTTCTGTAGGCTAACATTTTCACCAACAGGCAGTGCCATCGACGTGGATTTTCACCACTGGATGGTGGCATCAGCAGCCAACGAGTACCGATTCATCTTGTGGGATCTGAGGACCTCGCTTGTTTCGGCATGGGTTGATTTCCGACCCTCAAGACTGGACCTTGACAATCTACGAGCTTTTTTAGCCGTGTGACCGGGGCCGAGGCTTGCTGAGCACGGGTTGCGGACGCAGCAAAATCTTCCTCACGATGCCACAGCTCCCGGCATCTAAAATCCTGCTATACCCCTTGACAGCTAAACCTAATTCGGCAAGGCTTAACTACCACAAGGCGTCGGAAGGCTGGTGGAACACCGTCACTTGCGCAAGAAGAGACTGCTGTAAACAAATTTCGGGTCTGAAAGCAGCAGCAGCAACCACACAGGTTCAAAGTGTTGCGAAAGCTGCGTTACTCGCACATGAAACGACCGTCGCTGTTGGCAGCTTTCAACTGCGCAAAGTACGGAGGGCCGCCAGGTCCAGGCAAGCAAGTCGAAGTTTTATCTTGCAATTTCCAACGTAAGGCCGCTTCTGCACAGGGACACGCTCTAAGGCTATTGGTTTGCAAGTCGACCTACATGGCGCTGAAGGGGACATTGTACATGAGAATCTCGTTCTGCCGGCCGCTTGCAATTCGCTTGAAAAGCTCATAGTCGCAAATGATGCACTCGCAAAGTTATGCTCTCTCTTCACTATCGTGCCACAAGACAAACGCCGCAGAAGCCTCCTCAATCTTTAGTATTATCATCATGTGCCGTGTTGCCATCGCGCGTGGCAAAGTTGCTCAGCAATGCGGAAGCCTGTTGCTGTTGAGCCACCGCACGAAGACTGTTCGAGTAAACTTGCTAAAGCCATCGCACCTGAGAGAGGGCTGGTTTCTTGAATTCACGGCTAGGGTTTTGTTGTTGCCAGCCTCAACTTATACGACGTCTTCTGTTTTTCCCGGATTTGCCGGCTGCTCTGCCGGCTGTGTTGGCTTGACATTATCCCTCTGACAGGAAGCGTTGCCAGTTTGCAATGTGTGAAACTCCTGGTCACAACCCGAACTGAGACTTGGCTTGTTCGTCGCTGTGCTTGGGGAGCTAGGTCAGGAAGCGATTTTGGGTCTAGCTTCGAGGCCTTGCGATGGATTGGGAAAGCAAAAGACTTGCAACGGGTTCCGATGACGGGCTCGTGAAGATCTGGTCTCTGGATGGTGGCATGCCGACGTGGGAGTCGTCCATCGATTGCAAGCATGAAATGACGGTCGCGGTCGATGCCGATTTCGGGAAGAAGCGGATTGCCACCGCCTCCTGGGACTACAACGTCGACCTGTGGGATCTTGAGACGGGCCGCTTGGAAACATTACGAGACTTTGGTTGGCCGTGTCCTCGACTTGCGCGCGCCTTCTGCTAGGTGAATTGCTCCACCACTTCGTCAAGCCACGCAGGTGTATGACACAGGTCAGAATGAAACTAAGCCACCCAACTGGAGGCTGAATGTGTTCCACTGAAGGGTTCGTGCCACAGTTACCACGAGCGACCAGGACCTGACGAGGAGCTGCAAGAGCTCTGGTTTACGTGTATCGACGGCTTATCACGGGTGTGATATGCTGGCATAAAAGAGCGCCTGCGAATTCAGGGTAAGTTGGACGTGCTGCTTGATGATCTTCATGCCATGCCATGACAAGCGGCTGCTGCAGTTTGCAGAATTTTTGGAGCAATGCACAGGCTTGGTCCCCAGAAGATGGCCAGCTTCATGCAGAGGCGGGTTTCTTGCGACGGTGTTTCGGATGGGCGCGCATCAATGATCGGACCAGGCCATCAAGAATCACCTGGGCAAGGTCAAAACCCTCCTGACGACGGGCAAGGCCAGGGTCGGAAGTTGCCCGAGTGGAGGTGGCCAGCCAGAGAGAGAGAGAGCCAGCCTCCTGGTCGTGGGTAGGAATCACGGCAGCCTCCGGCTGCAAGTGCGACTGTCACACAGCTCAAGAACATCGCACCGCCAAACTTTGTCGGGGCACGAGGGTTTTTTTTTTGGGGGGGCCAGTCGGGTCTCGACGATCGCCACTGCACAACGGAGATCAGGAAACCTTAAAGCCCAATATGTTCTCACAGATCTGACAAGACAGGACACACGGCTGTGAGGGTAACGATAATTTCTTGCGAAGTCGATCACGTGATCAGCTAAGCTTGAGTGCCAGCACGGCACAACGCTATACCAGTGCCTAGGGAATTTGAAGGTTTCATGTCCGAGCAAATGAAGGGAAAGCAGCAAGCGAAAGAGAATAACTTGCTCTGATCATCTTGGATTCATTCGCGCGGTATGTTACATGGAAGGAAGCATAAGCAGGCCACACATGCCAAAACTTGAAATCCAACCAATTTCTGCTGCTAGTCGGAACACAGGGGTTAAATACCACTTTCAAAAGATGGATACATACTCCTTTGAAGATCATAGATGCGCACACGACTGCAAGCGAATACTCGAGGAGTAGAGATGTTCAATGTTCAAGCTTTTCTGACACCTGGTTGGGTGCAGATACTTCTAGACTTCTCGAGCTTGGCACAGGCTGTGCGTCGGAGCTTGCGAAGTCTGCCAAACATGCAAACACTTTAAGATGGCTTTTGTGTTCCTTCATCATCTATTGCAACAAGCCCAAACAATAACGAAAGACCAATGCCCGTACGGCAAACGTGGAACCAACTATGCAGAGCAAGCTTTGGATTATCGGAAAACGGCATTTTCAGCACGCTGATCCACGCGTTCCTTTGAACTTCAACTGCGAAAGTCTTCCAAAGATCTTCTTTGCGAATGTTCGTGCAGGCAAGGTGTTTTCCCACTGTTTCATGAATGAAGCATCTCCCAGCATGACCATGTCCTGACCAGGTATGTTGAACTGGTTTCAGTTGAGTTGGACTTGTCTGTGCGCACAGTTACTAAAGGCTTTCACATATCAGACAGATGTGCAGCAAGACATGTCGCCGACCTCTGGCAAAGGACAGCGGACAGCATGACTTTGTTTGATTTTTCGGTGTGGGGGGGTGTGGCACCATGCCTGTGTCAATCGTGGGACCGGCTGCCGTTTGCTTCCGTGTGAGGACACTCAGTCAGGGTGATAATCGACGTGTGGAGGGGATGTGCCTGCTCAAGTTTATACATCAGGAAACGAGCACAGAAATAAACACCCGAGAGTTCGCTCGTGTTCCAGAGCTCTGTCTCATCCGGGGCTCGTCCAGGAGGTCAACGAGGCAGCGCTTCAGCAGGCCCGGGCTGCTGCATCGCGGCTGAAGGCGTGGGGCCGTGGGGCCTGCCCGAGACAAAGCGAAGAGCATCCATACTCCGACACTCCGGCCTCCAAAGGACACTCAGAACAAGAGGATGGCGTCAGCAGATGCCAAGCAGAAGGTGCACCGGAGACTGGAGCCTCAGAGCACGGCACGGAGAGTCGTCTTGTTGGGCTTGAAGGTCCAATCTGTTGTTGATCAGTCGCAGACGGTCAAGGATCATGCCGCTGCAGGTCGGGTGCCCATGTCATGGAGAGCTTGTTGTGATTTGCTTTGCGCCTGCAAGCATTGCAGTCTTTGTGAGGTTCTTCTCAGAGCCAGCTGCTTTTCGTTTTGATCGTCTCTCCTGCCAGTTTGATGTCGACTGAGTTTGCCACCGCTGACCGAAAGGCAGTGCAGTTGCGGAACCGTTGATGCAGCAAGGATGCGGGTCTGTAATGGATGCCAAATGTTGCCAGGTAGTTTGCGTTTCGGTGCTCGGCGCCATGTTCTTCAACAGGATGCGATACTACGAGAAGAAGCACTTTATCTGAGCTCAGAGACTCGACTTCCCTGCGCCACAGCCATTGCTCGCAGCAGTTGTCCTGAACTTCTCGCAAGCGCCTGTGGCAAAGACGGGCCAGCTGTGCTGGCTGAGCCTCTCAGGCTTCCGCTCCACTGCGTTTAGTGCAGACGCGTATGTCTGCTGCGCTTGCTCACGGCGAATGCTCGTGAGCCTGGCTGACTGCCATGGCAGACAGAGTTGAAAGCTGCAGGAGCGAGGGTTGCGTGCCGCATGTGTAGAGTGGAGTGCTCCACGTTCTACAGCGGCTTGGCGGCTTGCCGTTGCCGACATGAGACGGATGCGGCCTTCGCGAGCAAGAAAAGCTTGCCCAGCGTCACATGCGCTATCATCAATATCGCGAAGTGGTCTTGCCTGCCAATAGAGAGAGTGCCGTACCTCGCAGTCTGGCTTCAAGTAGGCAGTTTTGCTTCTGTGATCGCCATGTCCGACATGTCCGCATTCGTGGCGTTGCCGTCGGCCAGCTCGGTGGAGAGGACCCAGTCTTTACGTGGATCATTCAACCAGGCGTCGGCACAGCCGGCCGGGACCTCAACCTCGACCTATGCCACCGTGGCGGGCGTCGCAGCACTGGGCGCCATGGCCGCGGCAGGGCAAAGGCGAAAGCACCGTGCCACCCTGACGAAGGGCTGCAGCAGCACCGCCCGGATGCACAAGCCTCGCTCGTTGTCGAACGCCAAGGTGATTGTTTGCGCAGGTGCAACGCTGCCTGAAGGCCGCAAGCTCCGAGTGGCGGTGATTGGCGGAGGGCCGGCAGGCGCCAGTGCTGCAGATGCTTTGGCCCAGGAGGGAATCGAGACTTACCTGATCGAGCGGAAGATGGACAACTGCAAGCCGTGTGGTGGTGCGATTCCATTGTGCATGATCGACGAGTTCGGCCTTCCCAAAGACATTGTTGACCGGCAGGTGAAAAAGATGACCATGATCTCGCCCACCAACAAGGAAGTCCAGATTGGTCAGACGCTCAAGGATGACGAATTCATTGGCATGGTTCGCCGCGAAGTCCTTGATGACTTCCTCCGACAACGGGCCAAGAAGAATGGTGCCACACTGATCAATGGGCTTTTCATGGGTACGACCATCCCGCAGCAGAAGAACGAGCCGTACGTCCTCACCTTCAACGAGTTCGGTGAAGAGGCAAGCAATGCTCGCAAGGGCGAGAAGAAGATGCTGGAAGTCGACGTGGTGATTGGCGCCGATGGGGCAAACAGCCGCGTTGCAAAGGACATCGAGGCAGGGGACTACGAGTACGCCATCGCATTCCAAGAGCGCATGCGCATCCCGGAGAACAAGATGGACTACTACAAGGACCGGGCAGAGATGTATGTAGGAGATGATGTTTCTCCCGACTTCTATGCCTGGGTTTTCCCCAAGTGCGATCATGTGGCCGTTGGCACTGGCACTGTCATCGACAAGAAGGGCATTCAGAGATATCAGCAGGGCATTCGTGACCGGGCGGCTGTTCGCATCGACGGGGGTGAGATCATCCGGGTAGAGGCCCACCCGATTCCCGAGCACCCGAGGCCCTGGAGGGTCAAGGACAGGGCGATCCTTGTCGGCGATGCAGCCGGATACGTGACAAAGTGCTCGGGCGAAGGCATCTACTTCGCTGCCAAGAGCGGACGCATGTGTGCTGAGACGATTGTCAAGAGCTCCAAGAGCGGAGTCCGCATGATCGATGAGGCGGATCTCATGGAGCACATCCGCGAGTGGGATTCCAAGTACGGGCCCACTTACCTAGTGCTGGACCTCTTGCAGAAGGTCTTCTACACCAGCGATGCTGCCAGGGAGAGCTTCGTCGAACTGTGCGAGGAGGAGTACGTGCAGAAGGTGACCTTCGACTCGTATCTCTATAAAACAGTCCAGGGCAACGCATCTCGCCTAAGCTTTGAGCCTCATGCATGAGCACAGGTCAGTGGTCTTGTCGAGTCAATCGTCTTGTTGCTGGTGTACCTTGTTGATCCCGCAAGTTTGAGGACATGAGGTGCTTGGTAGACACTGCACCGCCTACGTTTCATGTATCCTGCCGCCTCTCGAGCCAGGACCCTATCGGAGATCTGAAGCTGGGATGGAAGACACTCACTTCCCTTTACAAGTACAACAACCAGAAGACGCCAGATCCAATGCGGACCCTTGCGTGAGCTTCTGCCGGCAGGTGGGCACAGGTCCTCCACAGCTTTGTAGCTTGCCTGGGGCTTGGGGCCGGACGTGAAAGACAAGCCAAGCGTGTTGCTGGCTGTCGCTGCATTCTCCACGGAGTGCCGTGCTAGTGCATCCCAAATTTCACAGTGCGCCAGACGATGTCCACACAGAGTTTCATTCAGCATTTGGGATGTGCATCTTAATTTAAGTGCACTTCTAAAACGACCTCTTTGACAGTATCTGGGCTGAAGAAAGCCAAGGCCAGCATTTCGTTTTTGTGAGAGCCAACCAGCGATGCTTTGGGTGTGGGGGAACCGGCCAGTTATTGGATTTGTCGACAAGCCCTAAATGGTGAGAAAGTACCTTCAACACCCTTAGCCAGACCAATCTGCGAAGCAGGGCAGCAAACACTCAAAAAAGGCACAGGGATCATGAGCTGAAGAACTTAGGTTATCGCTGGTTTCGCAGGTAAGACATCAAGCTGCAAGTGTGAAGGGGCGCTCCAAGCCTAGAGGAGTCTTGTTCGCCAAAGTCATCCATACCTTTTGCACAGGTTTTCACCGTAGTTGCGGTGGCTACTTGAGGGATGGTGTGACTCTGCTCAGAAGCCTCATGCAATTAGCAGGGCGGTTGCTGCAATTGTGAGTCGCTGCTACAAAAATTCAAACATGTTAGTACAGAACACCTGCTATCAGGTAGGCCCAGTGCGGCAGTCCAGTACAGTAGGAAGTGCACAGAATGAACATGCAAAGCCAGGGGTCCGTCCTTGCACCTACATGGCCAGGAAGATGGCATTGCCTGTTGGCGTGGGAGTGGCTCAACACTTAATTCAGCTGTTTTGGCGATAGATTTATCCGCCATGGGGGAAAATGCTGGCAAATTCGCGCTTATGTTGAATCCTTAGTGAGTCTTCCTACATCGCAGGCTGCAGCCGGTCGCATGTTTGACTTGACAAGTCTGTACTCAGGGGATGCGGCCTTGTGTGCTTGGGCTTGCTGATCTTCGTCATCGTGATGCTGGCGTCAATTAAGGTGTGGGCCCGAGATTTGGAACTGCAAGGTGGAACCCTGCACTGCACCGCATACAAAAACCCTTTGCAGCCAAGAGTTGCTTTTGCAAGCGTACATGCCAACACGTAAGCAGCCGGATTCTGCAGTGGATACCTGCAGCCATAGTTGCACTCAATAGCAAACTGGCCTGTGTTGAACAACACCATAGCATACACCGACGACGGAGCCTGCTGCGGTTCGTCATGGCACGGCGGTCGGCCGCATGTCTTTCTGCTCTACAGCAGGTTCGGAAGGCAATGGATCAGCAGATTGTCGGCCAGCAAGCAGGCAAAGAAGCAGTTCTACTAGCTCTGATAGCATCAGAGCATGTGTACATAGAGGGGCCGCCTGGTGTGGCAAAGACGATGCTCGCAGAGACCGCTGCTGAATCCACCGGTCTGTCGTTTTTCTTTTATCAGATGCATCGTGATACCAAGCTCCATGAGCTCATAGGCGATGCTGTCATCGTGCGAGAGCCTCAAAAGGAGGGTGGAGAGTTGGTACGCAGTTTGACACGGCCGGGAGGCATTCTCACCGCAGAGCTGTGTGTGCTTGACGATATCTCCCGGGCCCCTGGCGAAGCTCTTAACATATTATTGCGGCTCCTCAATGAAAGGCAATACAACGGTAGTTGTGGGCAGGACACATGGAAGTTACCACTCAGAACGGCCATTGCAACATCAAATCCTTCTGATCCTGGCTCCAGGTACTACACAGAGCCTTTGGATCCTGCAAATTTAGATCGCTTTGTTCTCCAGCTGAAGGCAGAAGGTGCCGTGCAGTCGGGGCGGTGGGACGAAGCTGCCCGAATAATAGACCTTTTCTCCGACACGGTCGAGGAGACAAAGCCTTTCTCAGCCGGAGAGGCTGCAGAAGAGCTCAGACGTGCGACTGCTGCACATGCCGCAACAGTGGTGCCGGGGTCCGTTCGACGGCTCTTGCTTCGGGTCCTGGAGGAGTTGGTAATGCGTCACGGGGTTTGCCAGAAAAACTCGCTGTTGACTGATCGGACCTTCCTTGTGAAGGCACTGCGTGTGATGCGAGCCCGTGCAGTGCTGCACGGCCGCAGGGAGTGCGTCCCAGAGGATCTTCAGGTCTTGCAGTACCTGACAACTTTTCGAGTGCCTGAGGCAGTTCATGCAAGGATCAACCGGATCGTGCAAACAGTTTTGGAGAAAGCCTCCAACAGCTCTGCACATGCAGAGTGATTTCCTTGTGTCCGGTGATCTGAGAGAGCTTGATGCAAAAAAAAGGCTGACAAGAGTGGTTGCAACCCAGATCTGACCTCGAGCATGCACACTTCTTTTCGGCTTCGTTTGGAGATGCCATGTGCCTGGTGACAGCTTTTACATTAGCAGACGGCACAGGCCTTGCAGACCAATATATTTGCTGTCCTGCGTCTCTTAGCCTCTCCTGATGCTTGAAGCATGCGTTTGACAACAAGCGAGGTGGTCAACGACCGGCAGCAGAATCTTGGCCGCTGACTAGTGCTCTTACGCTAGGGGGCTGTGCTAGACTTGTGACATGTTTGTGAGGAGGTGACTAGACAAGCCTTTGACGTTATGTCCAGAACATCCGTAGTCGAGGCCAATCGCATCGAACATGCAGACGCAATCTTGGCGTTGCTCTGCAGGATCCTGTACGTCTTTCCAACCACGAAAGAGGTGAAGAACGGTCCTTTCACTGAGATCGTCTGGCCGCACATAACTCATGAAGTGAGAGAAGCTGTGCAAGTATCGACAAGCACGGTCCTCAGTAAAGAACCCCAAGCGATTCGAATTGGCGGACACCTGCATGCAGCACAGGTGACTTTGCTGTTTTGAAGCATGAGCGGACGCAAGAGCTTCGTCATGTTCCCGGTCCAGCACCTTAGCAGAAGAAATGAATTTTGGAAGCATGCATACCTGTGAGGGAATATCCCACAGTTAGGAACCAGACATGCAGAATGTCGAGCGACATGATTTGCCTCGCGAGCAGGAATTTGTCTTTATGGAAGCCTACGAATCACTGGAGGCGGCAAGTGTCGTGAAGTGCAGTGCATATGCAGCTTGTCGTCATCGTTGTTGGCATGTCCACTACAACTCAGCAAGGTATTGGTATTGGCTCTCTCTTCTCTCTCTCTCTCTCTCTCTGTTTATCTGCGGCGTTCTCCCGTGTTGGCGACTTCCCAGAGAGCCATTAATGCATAGTTAGTGGTCCCCAAAATCCCAGAACCCAGCATTGCAGCCGCGCAGCGCACCGACCGGGGCTCTGCAAGCCCGCCTTGTCGGTCGGGCAACCCGATGGTGTGCTTGCGCATGTCATCAGTTTTCCCGAAAAGGTCTGTTCCAAAGGCACTGGGTGCTCGATCCAAAGAGCAGAGTCCGCTCGCTCACGGTTGCATCTTCTGATTCTTATTCCTGTGACTCATGTTTATGATTGTTGATGATGCTGTGATTTTTGTCGCCGCCGCGGTTCACCGCAAGCTGTGTAGTTCGTGTTAACCCGGCTCCAGGCGTAAGTGCTAGGGGCCGGCCAATGTGCTTTGGGACGAGCTGTGTTGGCTACCGTTACGAACGGGATCAGGCAGTGCTAGGGGTGACGGGTGACGGCTTACGTGCTTCGTGGTCGACCAGTTATTAGGGCCCATCGATGATAATCAGAAGTTACCGAAAATTAAAATAAACGGGAATTCCGGGAGACGGCTGTTCTGAGTACGACCCACCCGTGAATCCCGTCGGAAATAGTTTCACCTTGGCGACACGGTGCACAAGATTGAGGCACGAGCGGTGCGCGGTGCCTTCCATCTTACTGACCCCGCGACTGCCTGTTACACTTCAAGACAAGCGCTGGTTGCAGTCTCACTTCCAAAGACTTGGCAATTTCTCGGTTGCACCGCGGCTCTGCGGCTACGGCAGCCGCCCACTTAGAGTCTTAGAGTAGTGAGCTGCGAAATGGCCTTGTCTTGTTTTGGGCAATGATTTGACAACAGTAAGAGGAATTGGTTAGTTGTCGATTGGAAACACTTGTCCAAGAGGCCTCGCCTCTCGCCCGCAAAGAGCAACGCCCACTCGCTCATCGCTCATTACCAAAATTGTGAGTACTGTTGTTGTTGCTGCTTGTGGAGTCGAAGTCGTCGTTGCTGCTTCCTAGCCCGTCTTGTGACTTGATTCAGCTGGGAGCTTCAGCAGCTTCTGCACAACCGTCTAGCGACGGCCCGTGAGGCGATTAGATCCAAGACCGTGCTGCAGAAGCAAGAGTACATCCGCCTCGTGGACAAGATGACTGGGTGCGCGGCTGTGCTTTTGTCCCTTATTGGGGTTCCCAGTCATTCGAAGCAGAGGCGATCTATGTTAAGTGCGATCACCAAGAAACTGTCTTACCATTGCGAATCTCTTTGCGTGCAAGTGCAACTTCGGAAGAAGCCGACAAGCCGCGACCGAAAACCATGAAAGCCTGATCGACACTCAACAAATGCACAGCTGGAAGCCACCAGAAGCATTGTGCGAACCAGTGAAAGCTTCAGCCGTGTCCGTATCCTTTGTCACCCCTGGCGATGTTCTGGTGGGCGGATTGAATTCCATTTGGGGCAGTACTGTGAGTGTACACGGGAAGATTGCAAGGTTCGTCATTGCAGGCTCTTGAAACTGGCCCTGTGGACATGAAAGCTGTTGTGGGCAGAACGCGGCATCACTGTTCTGAGTGCCTGGTGGAAGCACGTGAAACCGTGAAACTGTTGTCGTGCATTGTGTGCCAGGGAAGAACGTGTGGTGCAGGGTGCCACAACTTTGGTCCCACGACCGCTTGAAGACGTTCCGGCCGCAGCGTGTGTGCACCATGTTGTGGCACTCGGCAATAGGCATCCGGCATTCAGCACTACAGGCTCCTTCGGGTGTGGAGACTGCGATTGTAATTGGAGCGCAGAACGCGGTCCTGGCAGCTGGATGGCACTGCATTCCAAGAAGGTACCGCGCTCGAACTATTGCATTTTGGCTTGAGGTGTACAACAAGACCTCGGGCATCAGAAGCCTGATCAGACAGGCCGTCAATACCTAGCATGTCATGAGCTTGCTGAAACTTGGCTGGAAAGAGGCGGGTGCGTTCGTTCCAGCCCCTTACGAAGAGATCCTCAGCGAGCAGCAGGCACCAACGCATTCTTCCTGTTCGAGTTGCATGCACAAGGGCTGTGTAAGCAGCCTGTGACCTCGTTGCAGGCTGTTCTTCTGGAGCCCCTGCAGTATGCCGTTGTCAAAGATCTCCTCACTGGCGAGGACACTTCCGGTTTATGCGATTTGTTCATGCATGTTCTCACTGCAACTTTTGGAAGGCACGGAACGAGGTTGGGCCGCAGCTGCTCCAAGCAGGTGCTTACGAGGCCAGGATTTGAGGAGCAGAATGAACTTGGAGTCTTGAAGCTTGTGGATATCGTGGCCCGATGGATCGCATGCGACATGCCAGAGCATCCTGGAGACCAAACGGAAGCTCGTTCTGGAGAAGGAGCCGCAGAGCGGAGATCTGGAGATCTAGTGTTGTACAACCTTGCTTGCGGCCTTGCTGCGCTTCTGACAGCTTTCCCAGGACGAGTACATCCAATTCCTGGATAAAAAGACGGGCATGGAGCGAGTCCTGCGAGGCTAGTCAGCGTGTTGCAAAAGGGCGTTAATCTGAGCCTTTGCCCCACGGCATGGGTGACTCCTCCTTCATTCCTTGATGTTGGCCGTAGGGGGTGGCTCGATTTCTCATTCTTGAAGCGCACCTTATTTTGTAGAAAGTACATTTCGGGGTTTGAGCATACCCTGGATTTCATAACCCAATTTTCTTAGTTTGAACAGGGGCTCCAAAATGAAGCGCCAAGACATCAGAAGAGAGGCTCGAGCCCACAGCAGCTTCCTCTCTGGCTCAGGCGCTTATCCACTAGGGCCATCCTTCAGGTTCTGGGCTCGCCTAGTAAGGGCTTAAGAAGACGTTCTTTTAAGCCCTAGTGACAGCTTTGGAGGGCTCCAGAGGCTCCAGAAAAGGGCGTAATGAAGGCTTTTTAAGGCTTTGTCCTGTTGAGAAAAAAACCACCAAAATAAGAAATTGAGGGGCTCGATTTCTTAAGTTTAAGAATATTTATTTGTCGCACGGCTGTCCGAGGGGCTCAATTTCTTAAACCAGTGATTTCTTAAGCAGTGCTTTTGCTGTAGTAGTGTGACGACCAGATGCTGGGGCATCATGGGCTGATGCGGGATGTGCTGCTGCTGCTCCTAGCTCCGTCACGTCAGGTCATCTCGCACCATCTTTCAGCTGTCTGGTGTTGACTACAGGTAAAACGCAACGTGTGTCGGCCTCATGCTATCCGACATGCTGACATTGCGCTACCTTATCAACAGTTCTCAGTCGGTGTTTGTCGTCTTCTCGTCTTGTGCTAGCCTCATCTGTTCTAGTAAGGTGCAAATTTCCGATTGCCTGCTCGGTGATGCAAACAAAGCTTTGCTTCCGTCGTAGTCTTCCTGCTTCTGGAGACCACCTTGAGTGACGTCATGTCCTTTCGGATTAGCATTCTTCCGCATCACTCGCGTGCTACGATGGGCATCTGCTCTCTGACCGGAGTTTGTATCAAACTTTTCGTGTTGAGACGCCGCAAGACTCACTGAATTACGAGCCTGCTAGGAAAGATCTGACCCAATGCTGGTCACTGAGCGTGAGGAAGCACAGTCCTCGTACCAGGTCCCGACCAAGTCGTGCCCGAGCCTAATGAAGAAGCCGAAGATGGGGTTCAGAAGGCACCCCGGCGGCACTTCGTCCCAGATGTTTCTTTTTGTGACCAGCGGTCTCATGCAGACACCATCGTTCAAGCTTGGCCTGTCGGCCCAGCTTGCCCAAGCGCCGGCAGTTGCCATGCTTTGCGGCTTTGCGAGGCGGTCTTCCTCACCGACCAGCAGGCAGTGGTGGTCCTGAACAGGAGACTGTTCGGGTCTGCTCGGACTGAGAAGTGGGCGTGCTTTCGAGCAGTTCAGTTGGACTTGACTCTGAAGGACTTCTGGACAAAGGCGGCTTGAAACCACAAACGGGGTTTTCTTTCCGGAAGCTTACGAGAAGGTGCTGGAGGCTGCGGATATCTGGAGCGGCTCTCATCCCTCATGGCGTCTTTCCGTCTCCGCCTGGACAGAGGTGCGAACAAAATACGTGGTCCTGACCAATCAGGCTCTTCGGCCCAAGCTGCAGTTGGGGTAGGCAAGCCTTGCACCGGCAGGCCGCTGTGACAAGAGATGTCCTCGGTGGCCTGGCAGCATCTGCCACTCGCTCCACCGGCGCAACTGGGTGAGCCCAGGTGCACTAACGATGATCAGTGGGGCAAGCGGCAGCACAGCTTTCTTCTTGCAGCCGTACGAGGCGAGGCCGACGTACCCCTTTTGGATAACCCAGATTATGAAAGACAAACGGAACCACTGGACAGGAACTAGTGGAGATGCAATGGTCCGTGTATGACTCCCCGGATGCACAGGCTCGGTGCTGCGGCGTTTCAGGATTCTTGGGCTGCAGGTTCCGTATTGGGAGTAAGGGTCAGTGAAGAGACACATAGAACAGGCTCCATTTTCCGAATCTACCAGTTTCATAATAGATTCGTCGTCAATCGCAACGGTTTGATATGCATTGCTTGTCATGCATGGCAGTCCCGTGAGGACTCAGCCGCAGTTTGGGTTTAATAAGAACAATATTTGTTGGTTATGAGCTTGATTGTGATGACGTGTTGTTTGTAACAACGCAGTAATGGGATGGTACAGGAGATGGGGCCTGATACATCGAATCCTAAAGATGCATTAGAACATTGTGGGGTACTGGGCCTCCGGTCATCTTAACCCCCCATGCACCCCACTACCCCGGCATCCCCCTGACCCTTTCACAACGATGCACAATCTTCGATGTGCTCTTCATAGGTGCCTGAGCCACGTTCAAGAGGCCATCGGTTCACGGATACATGCCACGTTCAAGTGGCCATTGGCTCACGGAAGCAAGTGCGTGTTGACCTTGCGCAGGGGCCATGCACTCAAACTACGCACATGCCCACAAACAATATTCATTCGAAGGCACTACTCACAGACCGAGATATTGCTGTTTCTCGTGAAGTTGTCGGGTTGCTCAGCAATGCACCAAGGCCTGTGAGCCCAGTTTCCGACGAGTTCTACAAAAAGAGTCCCAGGGCTCTGGAGAAAGCCAAAAATCGAGCATCAGCTTTATCTCCGAAAGGTAGCAGATGAAACAAAACCGCGTAATTGGCATACGAGTTCCATCAAAAATCGAGTGATAGTCATCGTGAGTTTGCTGCTTCAGCCTTCAGGGTCTCAAGAAAACCACTTGACCGCTGTGCAGGGTGCAGTGCTCCTCGAGATCTGTTTTGTGCATGTTCCCTCCTCGTGCATGATGTGAAGTTCGCTTGCATTGCTGCATAGATCTTGAAATTGGCGAATTCTAAATGTGTTGCAGGATCCGGTTCCGAAGACCACGGTTTCCATGATCGATCTCCGAGCTCAAAAGATGCTGCTTGACAACCCTGACAGCTGCCAGAATGCATGCTCTTGATTGGCTTGAGCAAGGTTCTTCAATGTGGAAGTGCGAACCAGCGACAATGTGAAAATGAGACTCGAGGGTACGGTTTTTTGGCAGGTGAAGGACAGACAATGCCATGTAGAACTGTTCCATCAGCCTGGAGCATGCGCGTGTACTTGCTTTTGCGCGTCTGGCTTCAGCCACAGGATGTCCTCACCATGATTGCGACGACAGCTGATCCTGCCGGTGATGTGTCGCAGCGGGCGCGGAGTGGACTGGTATCAGCGGTAAGCCAAAACACCTTTGCAGCTGCTGCCTTAGTTTGCAATGTGTCACAGGTGGGGTTCGCAGAACTGTTGCTTGGATTTGCGAGGTCTTCATGAGTCAGTTCAACAACATTACTGCGCAGGCATGGATTCAAGAGCTTCCTTTTGGGCCTGATCAGTTTTGCAAAATTAGTTTTGGAGAGGCAGCAGCGACCAGTATTTCTGTCGGCATCAGGCCTACGCTCAGCAAGCAGCAGACGGCTTTTACAGCTCACGTGGTGTGGAGCTGCAAAGCATGGAGATGACCCGCTACGACATGGTAGATCAGGAGTCGATCCAGAGTGAATCGTGATCCGTCGAAGGCATCAGTGCTTGATTCAAATTGTGAAACTCCCAGTGAACCGAGCGGAGGAGACTGCAGACATCTTACAGCTGATCATCCAGGAAAGCACGAATCGCCGTGGTCTGAGATGTATCGCATTGGCAAGAGGCATGGCTGTATGTTGCCCGTGCGTCCGGGCGAAGATGCTTGCTTGAGGCATCAACCGCTTGCAGCAGCAGGAGAGTGAGAACGATGTGTTAGCGGCAAAGCTGGTGGCAGACATTCAGCTGCTCGCTTTGCATGGGCGAGCTGCGCTGAAACCACCGTTCCCGGACTGATCACTGAGGTTGGAGCAGCAGCGAACGGATTTCATCAGAACGCAGGTCCAGCCTTTCTCTAGTCTAGAAATTCTTGACGGAAGCTCTCTCAAAGCGCTGGCCAAGGCGAGTAACCAGAGGTTGGCAGCTCTCTTGGAAGGACAAGCTCAAGGCACTGAGCTCGCCGCAACCTCAACTAACCTCTAAGACTCTGTGCACGCAACGACACGACGGTGTTGATGGGATCGAGGTAGAAAGTGCTGCAGCCTTCATTGATGGTCTGAACGAGACGGTGCCGGATGTGGCAGACCGCACAGAGTTGTACAGGCAGGATGCCGTGCTTGACATATGGGAAGCTTGGCGACTGTCTGCCAGGATGCATCAGCTTCTGGACGCACGGAACGCAGACACACATAACTTGGCCTCGGGCCAGGCCGGGGGAGCGTGAGGGAGCCAAAGAGAGGGAGCCACTTCGCTCACTGCGACTCTCGCTGTCGCTCGCAGCCGCCCCCCCTACCCTGACTCCTGTGATGTCTGGTGCATTCTCGCAAAGGGCAACCGCTTGCATTCAGCACTCGAACGGTAGAGCGCCGAGCGAATGTTTCGACAGGAAGGGAAATTCGCCAGACCACTGCCCACAGCTGGACAAAGAAGGGGCGAATGCTGGAAGGAGATATGGACATAGAGGACCCTAGCCCTAAACCTTGGAGGTGAGACACAAACAGATCGAGCCAGAAGACACGAGCTGGAGAGCGTAGACGGAGACGTCTAGTTGGCCTGTCGCAGGCCCAGCTCTTCCTCACACCCTCCAATCTCAATTTACAGCTGAGAATGGCAAACGACGAGCTGTAAGCTGTGAGTCTTCCCCTCCGCTTGTAATTTTGGTCCGTCCTGCCATGCAGAACGGTCCATGCATAGTTCCAGCTTTGTGTTTTGCAGCAGCTAAGCTCTGCTGTATTCGTCTACATGCCCTGGTCTGAAACTCACTGTACCAGGGCACAGACACTCAAAGCAAGAGTAGAGTATGCAGGTTTCAGGTTTTGATGTCAGATTTGTCAGCCAGCTTTAGCAATTTCGTGACACAGTTGTGCAACATAGGCATGGTGCAACCAACCGTTTTGAGCGGAAGTCTGTCACAGCACACGACGTGGGCGGTTGGTAGCGCGCGCGCCCTGCCAGCGCCTCTTGCACTGCAATTTGAGACGTTCCCCATCCCAGTTCCAGCACCCGCAATTTAACGGCAGCGGCTTTTCAATTCTCACTGTCGTGATGCTGATGGTTGTGATGGTGCTCTTGGGAGAGTGAGAACAAGCATTGCTGACGCTGGTGACTGCAAGGAGTCAATCTAGCCAAGGCGAATCGAGAAGCAACTTGACCCTTGCAGCTACATGCCGACCAGACCGGCAACGTTTACCCAGCTCCGAAGGAGCCTGTGGACAACATCGATGTAGAAGGAACGGAAAAAGGCCGCCTATATTCATCTTGGAAGCATGCCAAGCTTCGATATCTTATGCAGAATTCCGTAAAGACTGAAGTTCACACTTTGCTGAGTTCGGGAACGTGCCGATGTAGTTGACGGGACACGCAGTTGCTCATTGACATGTGTTTCGTCGTTGTGTGACGAATGTTTAGTCAAGTGAACCACAATGCTGACATTCAGACCATGTGTGGTCATTGGCATTGCCGAAATGCATGCTCCAAACTAGGGATTTGCTCGGTGTGGCTGTGCCAAGCACGCTTTGCCGCCACGCTGCTCCGGGTGCCTGGACCGGTGCTGGCGCACGTTCCATCGTTGCAGGAAATTCTGCACTACGGGTGCTCGCAAATGCCTAGCCGGCTGCCGGCTGGACAACACTTGCTTGCATGTTCACTGGAACCGCTTTTTGATCTCGAAAATTCCTTGGGAATAACAAACTCCACACCCCTCTTAGCTCCTCTTCCATCCCAACTTGCCAATACGTACTACATGCAAACCTTGGGGAAGCAAGAGGCATGCTTCGGCCTTGTTCACAATTGCTCGTGAAACATTCCACCGCACGTATTGCGTCGATGCAAGCGGAGCTGCGAGCATGCACCACTAGTTAGCTGTGGGGCGTTGAGGTGGGCGACGCAATCAGACGGTGTCGCTCGTGGCTCGCGTACCCAACACCTGCCACCTTCGGGAGTCGGCAGTCCACGCACTCGTTACCTGCGTGGGCGGGAGTGCGTGAGGGCCCTGCTCATTCTGCTGGGTCTGGTTGTGCTTGGGTGCCCTGCCGGGGGCTGCTGTGGCTTTAGCCTTTTGGCCACGGCTCGCTTGGGCGAGCGCACGCTTCCGCCCCAAGCGATGCTGTGGGCACTACGCCGCCGCCTACGCCTCCCATTGCCCCCATGTGCCAACTCTTGTGGCCCGCCCGGATGCGGAGACGAAGGACGCTTATGGCGACCACGCCTTGGCATGCCCTCGCACCGGCCTGGTAGCTTGTAGGGCAGAGACTGTGGAACGGGCCTGAGGCCGTTGCTCCGGGTGGGCGACCCCCAACAGTGGTTAATTAGCGCACAAAACATGCAGCACCCAACGTCTGCTCCAACAACCAACGCGTGCGACGCGTCCAGGCGGGGCTTTCTGCTGCGATGCAGCAATGTTTCGCGGCTCCCACGTCAATGCCTTGGGAAATCACAGTGCCGCGTGCGCTGCATTCTGGTGCTCTTGCTGCGCATGCCTGGCCGTGAAACTGAAAACCTGGATGCCCGTGCACGACGCGAAATGGCCTGCCACGTTGGCATGGGCACCCTCGCGGTTGACGCGCCTCGTCGGCCCGGTCGGTTGTGTCGATGGGAGCGCCGGGACGGCTCCCACGCACATGCGCGGGGCTAGGTACTGAGGTGTGGATGATCGCGACTGTGCGCTCCGCCGTCTGCAACCCCAGCCTATGTTTGGACGAAGTCCAGGCGTCCAGCAGGAACACCCAAAACGACGACGCCGCGATGATCGAGGCGCAGGTCCCCTTTCCACACTTCGTCGCCAAGCTCCGCAATGCCTGGTGGCGGGAACCCTCGAAAAAAAAAGCTTGGACCCGATGCAAGAGTGGTCGGCCACGGCCCTGGTGAGCGACGTCCTATGGCTCGGAAGGGCGACGTGGCGATGTAGAAGTCGGCTAGAAGCGCAACTAAATGGTCGTTGGGGTGAAGGGTAGCTGGCGCTCGGTGCAATTCCGCAACCCAGCCGCCTCCCTGCCGGTGTTGAAAGCGTGACCCAGCGCTGTAGGCTGCAGTTGGGCGGGACCTGGACTCTCCTCGCGGAAAAAAGGGTTATGCTGCCCCGGAGCATGGCCCAGGCATGCAAGACGGGGGCCAGTAGGCCCGCAGTTTCGCTTTGCTTCACTTCGCAACATCGCCCTCGTCGTCCCACATAAACGTTTCCTGGGCATCTATAAAGCGGGGAGGGGTCAACCACTTTGCTAATCTCGGAGTTCGCATCATGAGGGTCAGAGTAGGCCTCTTTCAGCTGTCGCATTCTGGGGGCGTCTTTTACAGGATTGCCAAAGGTTGGCACAACCCAGACGGCTCGCTCCACATGCCCCATGGGGCGGTGAGATCACTCCCCATAGCCCCACCAAGCAAGATAGATATGGTAACCGTGTTGGTTCAATTCAAGAACGACGCCCGCCACGAACGTGCTAATGCGCAGTCGCAGATAGAATGGGGTCGATCACAACATCACAGGCCCCTTGCGCAAAGTGAACGAATGTGCCTGCTTCGGGCTTTAAGGTTAGCATCCCATTCTAGCATGAGCTGCTTCGCTAAAAAGGGTGGCCCAAGCTGTTGGACGCAAATGGTTGCCACAGGCTCTTTTCAATATGTGCGTTCTAAGCCTTGTCATTGTTGCAGTGCCGACGGGGTCGGTGCGACCCTCTTCATCCTAAAGCAAGGCTTGTATCGACACGCTCTGAGCTCTTGTGGGACGGACGAACAAGGAGAAGCGCTCGGTCTTCCCGTCGGGCGGCGTCGAGCATAGCAACATATAGCAACCCACAGGCCCCAGGGCTTCATGCGACAACGATCCAACCCGAGTCTGCCGGGAGGCTGGCGCTCGGGTCTTGGGCGGCTTCTGTGTCGCCTGTTCCTCCAAACAGGTTCTGCAGCGTCGTCCAGATGGCATCGTCATGTCCTCTGGCGTATGCTGGCGAGTGCTTTCGAGACCAAGCGACGAAGCATATCACCCGTGGCGATTCCACCCACGCCCCCGTCTGCTTTGCCCAAGGCGGTGAGGCGAGCCATAGCGAGTG